ACAAACTTCTCTTCCTATTTTGAACCTGCCAACCACCCTTCCTGTTCAGATTCAAATGCCGGTCGGTCCAGAAAGGTAGGAGACTTGAGCAGTGTCACAGACCACAGCCGGGCACCAAGAGCGAGATGACAACATCACTCTCCTTAGTAGACTAGAACTAGAAAAAATCAACACTAAGATTTTTGAGAAAGGTAAAAGGTGCTGAGCAGGGCCCATGTGATAATTCTCATGTTAGGTGCTTTCCATAGGTGGTCCTCAGTGAAAGTTCAACCTTCAGAAAAGGAGTCTCAGAGAGGTAAAGCAACCTTCCTGGGGTCAAACAGCTATTAAGTGGCTGAACTAGAATTGAATTGCAGAGAGTCTAAGTGGAGCCCATGCCATTCCAACCAGCCTGACTATGGGTGACACAAATGAGTGACTCGAGGGTGAGGGTGGCCAAGGCAACTCAAGAGCTCCCTAAAAGGGAAGTTCGCCCCTTAGCCACAACCAACAACTGCCCGGTGAAAATGCAGATACAATCTCACCAGACCTGTCAAACTCTTAAATCAGAAATTGGGTTTCTCTTTGAAATCTCCCAGGTTTAAAATATTGGCAACTGATTCTAAGTTGGTTTTAAAATACCATACATCTTAGAGACTAATACACCTTGATCGGATCCTGCTTTGAAAACTCAAAACTCTAAAAGACATTTCAGGTATGACTGGGAAATTGGATATGTTGCATATTTGACATTAGTATGGAATTTATGTTGTTTCTTGGTATGGTGATGGAATTGTGTTATATGGAAGAATGTTCTGATTCCTTTTTTTTTTTTTTTTTTTGGTACCAGGGACCAACTCAGGACCTTGCGCTTTTGAGGCAGGTGGCGGCACCACTGAGTTAAATCCCCGGCCCAGAATGTTCTGATTAGGAGAGCTATGCTGAAGTATTAAGGGATGGAGTGTCATATCTGTGACTTATTTTCAAATGTTTCAGCCAAAAGAAAAATTAGGGGGAAAGAGCTCAGGGGAGACAGAAGGACAAAAGAGAAAATATACAGAGAGTATGAGAATAAAACAAAATGACAATAATTGTGAAACTGAGGATAGTTGAGCCGGGCATGGCTGCAATCCCTGTAGTCCTAGGTACCCAGGAGGCTGAGGCAGGAGGATATCAAGTTTGTGGCCAGCCTGGGCAACTTCAAAAGATTCTGTCTCCAAATAAAATATAGAAGAGCTGGGTATATAGCTCAGTGGTATGGTACCCCTGGGCTCAACCTCAGTACCACCAAAAAAAACATGAGATTAGTGGTTTTCCAATTGGGGGCAATTTTGTCCCTGTGTGACATCTGACAATATCTGGGGACATTTTTACTACTGCGCCTGGAGTGTGGGGTACAGGGTACATACTACCGGCATCTAGTAGGTAGAGGCCAGGGATGCTGTTAAACATCCTATAATGTGCAAGACAGGCCCCTGAAACAAATGATTATCAAGCCCCAGACGTCAACAGTGCCAAGTTTGAGAAACCCTGACCTAGATGAAGGATATATTGGAGTTCATTATTCTTTCAAGGTTTGTTTTTTTTTTTTGTACCGGGGATCAAACTCGGGACCTTGCACTGTTGAAGCAGGCAGTGGCACTGCTGAGCTAAAGCCCCTGCTCAAGTTTTTTGTATGTTTAAAATTTTTCACAATAAAAATTACAGAAAACTTTAAAACAAAAATGCTCAAGTAGAAATACCTTGCAGACCAAATAAAACATATCATCATACTTTGGTAACCATAGCTGGCTACCTTTTGCTGTCACCTCTCCTAGTAAACAGGGGTTGCCTGTGGCTGCTGTCGTAGCTGGTGAACGGGCATCTGTACAATTCTTACACAATCACATGAAGCCCCCTCTCTTCCAGAATGGCTCTTCCTCAGTCCTAATCAGCTCAGAAGAAGGTCATATGCCCAGGACTCTGTGCCTATACACCAACAGGCTCAAGGCGTCTGCTGGAAAACACAAACTTACTGATCAGCAGGGGAAAAGTGTGCAATGGGAGCACAGCCACATGTCCTATGTCCTTGAAGAGAAGGCGATTTTAGGCGAATGAGAACAAACCCCCTTTGAATGTATGTTACAGCTCCACACAAAAATTAAGGGGCTGTAGCTGGCAGGTTAATTCTACCTGGTGACGCCTTGCCTCATAGCAGCCTCTCTGCTGCCAGGGTTGGTGGGCCAGCCCTCACTGGAGCGTCCCTTAGCACCATCAGGCAAAAGCTATTAACCAATTGCCACCCTGGGACTCCAAAAGATTAACTTCAAAAGCAGTGCATGATACATTTCCAGGGAACCTGGGGAAACCCAAGAACTACTGAAAGGTTATACACAAGGAGAAAACAAGCAAGTAACAGAATGTAAATAAGAGAGTCACACTGGCCTTTGTCCTTTCTCTAGTATTAATCAATCTCTTGACTCTGAAATATTCCCAAATCCAAGACCAGTGTTTCCCCAAAGTGTAGACCACTTTATCTCACAGCAATTCAAAGGGGTTGTTAAAAGCTGATTTCTGGGGCCCACTTCAAACCTATTGATTCAGAATCTCTGTGACTGGAACTCAAGAATCTGTGCCTTAGGAAGCTCCCCCAGATCCTGGGGTTGGGTCTGAAACATTTGCCCCAGGTACAAGGTGAAACCAGGAGACTAGAGATTGCACAATTTTCTGCATGACTTTGGGCAAGCCACCTTACCTGAGCCACGATTTTCTCACATGTAAGTGGTAATAAAATAGCACCTGTCTCAGGGTAGTTGTGAGAATGGGAGCTTACTAATACACACACACCACCACCACCCCCACCCCGTTACAGTGCCTGGGACCCGGCTCTGTGCTCAGCAGATGTTAGTTCTTTTTCCTTAGTAGAGACTGGTTGAACATTAGAATCACCTGGAAAGCTTTTCGAAGTACAGATGCTAAATTCTGATTTAAGCAGTCAAGAGCAGAGGCCCCGGCAACAAGATTTTTTTAAAGCATCACAGGTGATCCCAAACATCAGCAGGGTTAAAAAATATGGCTTAGAAGCTGCCAATTAAAAAAAAAAATCAACATTTCTCTCTTTTCAGGAGTATGCATTTCTACCTGCAGACCTCGTGTTGAGGAGTTGCTATCCCAGGACTGGGTACTCCTAGGCTAGATGGTGCTTCTAAGGGGACCTTTCCTGGTACCTACAGAAGACTGTGGCACCAACCCGGTTAGCTGGAGTCATCTTTCTCCCCAGCAGCGCTGCCAAGGACAGAACCAGGAAGTTGGGGCCCTCCTGAGCCCTGAAGTATGAGTGGACAGCTGTCTCTCCAGGACATCATGGACCCAGAGGACAACTCCTTTCCCCATCATCCCAGCTCCACATATCAAGGAGCCTTTGGGGTGGCGCTGCCAGCGGGCATTAAGGCAACACTGCCAGGCAGCCTACCTGCCGCTGAGTAACATCTCCCTACAGGCCACCTGGCTGCCGCAGTCCTGCATCCTTCGTTCACCCTCGCCTTAATGTAGACCCCGTGTCACTAGAGATTGGCCTCAGGATTGAGAGGTGAAAGAAACAACTCCGAGATAGGACTGGAGAGAGGGCGCCTTGGGGTTGTAGGAGACTGGGAACAGGAGATGCAAGCGCTTTACTCCTTTAGTAGGTCAAGGTTTCTTGAGCCCTTAAAGCTTACTTCTGTACCGCAGGACCTCACCATCCACCACCGACAAGAACTTCCTCACCTCTCCCCCACAAACCATTCCCCTCTGGGGGTAATTCATTGGATACTCTGCGTATAAATAGGAAATAATTACTAGTGAGGTGGTGATGTTCCTTCGCCTATTTTTGGTGGGTCCCTTTGTTCAGATTTTTTAGGTATGCACACGGAGCTCAGGTGCACACGCGCGCCCGCACACACAACCGCCCCCCCCAGGTGTGTGGGGGAGGGATGGGGACACTGCGACTTCACTGCCCAGACTCGAAAGAGACAGTTAAGGCTCACGCTCCAGCCAGGGCTGCTCACTGGCGGCGCCTTCAATCCTGCCCTCCCAGACCTCACACTAACCCCTGGCTGCTTCTCCCCCCCACGGCCCAGACTGGGGGTTAAGGAATGTGTCCTCCGCCTCCAAAGTTACTGAGTTGTGCGAATCAATTTAGACACTTAAAAAAAGAAAGAAAGCAAAAGCAAAAGGCAAATAGCTCCATTAATCCCCAAATGCCTTCTCCCATCTGCTGCGTCTTGCCATTGCTGGGACTTGCGTAATGAATACAGCAAACAGGAAAGTTGAAAAATCTGGGTGCTCAGAAAGCGAAGTCGCGCGTGGAGGGGGTTCAGGGACCCCGGAGTCCGCGCCAGCTGGGGAAAGGGGCACAGAGCGCAGCGATGGCCGCTGCCTCGGACAGGGAGAGGGGGTGGCAGGAGAAAGGGATAAAGAGATAAAGGAGCGGAGAAGGTGAAGTCCCAAGCCTAGAGACCTCAACGCGGGAGCGGCCGCTCTGAACAAGGGTTTGCTCTCGCCTCTCTTCCCTCTGCCCCTCCCTCGCCTCTTCTTCGCTAGTCTTACAGCACTCACTCCTTCCCTCGCTCCCTCCCTTCTCACACACGCGCTCGCGGGCTCACACACGCCCCCTTCCCGGTTGGGTTCGCCGGCCTCCGTTTACCTAGAGGGGAGCATCTGGAATCCGAGAGGCGCTATAGATACTCACCCCAAAACCCAAGACTTCGGAAACGGGCTCCACGCCTGCACGCCTCAAGTCCGTCTGGATCACAGGCGGCAAGAGGGTGAGGGGTCAGAGACCCCACACACACACACACACACACACACACACACACACACACCCCGTCACTCCCACCGGTGCCGAGCCCGCAACCCCTTCTCCGCACGCAAAACCAAAGTTGGCCTCCCGGGCGACATGCCCCTGCGGAGAGGCCCGGTGGGGGACCCACTGCCTAGGCGAGCTGGGGAGGCAGCGAAGGGAAAGTGAAGCCCAGAGGGGAGGGCGAGGGGAGGCAGCCCACCTGGACATGTGCTCCCTTTGGGGCCGGTGCGCTTTCTCCAGCCCCAGCTTGGTGAAGATACCCACGAGCACCATGACAGCCACCACCCCGCAGATGATGTAGACGATCAGGTTGGTCTTGTCCTTGGTGGGGTCGTGCAGGGGGTCGTCCTTTCGCGCAGGGGGCTTGCCAGTGTTGAGCCAGAGCGGCGTGTCGTAGTTGGTGCAGGTGCTTTGGTTCAGTCGCCTCTTCTTAAATGTGCAACAGAACCGGAAGCCACAAGTCCCGCAGCAGAAGATGAAGTCGCCCGAGCTGCAGTTGAACGGCGGGTCCCACTGGCCCATAACATCGAAGTAGCCCCGACAGAAGTCCGGCGTGGGCGCCCGAGTCGGGGGCGCGTCTGATACCCCGGCGTCCTCGCCGGCCTCGCCAGAGGCGGCCCCGGAGCGGTTAACCCCAGTGAGCACCAACACGCCGCCCAGTTGCGCCAGCTGCCCGTGCCCGGCTCGCTCCTGCGCCCGGCACACGCGGGCGCACAGCTCGGTGAGAAAGCAGCCGAGGAGCAGCCGGAGGACGCGGCGCATCCTGTCTCCCAGCCCAGGCTCGACCGCTCGGCCGCTGCTGGAGCCGCTGCAGCTGCCTCTCGAGGCGCGGCCGAAGCTGCCGAGGCTGCTGCCGGGGGCTGCGAGCCGCCGCGGGCCGCACATGCAGGGAGCCGCGCGGGGCGCTCGGTGGTCGGCGGCCACTGCGCTCGGCTCAGCCTGCGTTCGTCTCCAGCGCGCCGCGCGGCGAGGGGCCGGCCGGGGAGAAGCGCGCCAGGCCGGGAGGGGGGAGGAGGAGCTGGGGCAAGCGCGGGGTGCAGGTCCGGCCGGCCACAGTGGGAGGCGGGGGCGGAGAGCTGGGGAGAGTCGGTCTGTGCGCGCTTCCCGTCCGCCTGCGGCTCGGGACTCGCCGCCCCGCGTCCGCTTGCAGGATCCTCTCGCCTCTCCAGCTCGCCAAGTGCGCCGGAGAAAGCAAAGCAACACTTGTGGAATGGAGGGAGGGCAGAAGGGGAGGGGGAGGAGGGCGGGCAGAGGCGCGGG